CTTTCTTTTTTTAACCAGCTGTTTTTATAGCTTTTTTTTTTGTTATGTTTCTTCTGTAGTAATTCAAGATGAAATGTTTCCAGCTTTTTTTTTTTTTTAATTATGTTGCTTTTTTTTGAGTAATTCAAAATAAATGTTGATGTGTTATCATATTGTTGACTGATTAGGTTTCGTAAAAGTAGTTTTGTATTCGTCGCCATCAACCACACAGCTGTCCGATTAGCAAACGGATTGACAATTTTTGTTGACGTGAATCGTTCATCAACCGTTCCATTCAAACCAATCATCTCAGGCCTTTTAAGCTCACGTTGGGTACCCTTTAAAAAAAAAACAAAAAAAAAACTCAACCCTGATCAACTGGCCTAGCTCAGTTGGTGGTACACCCCCTGCCTGAACTGAACTGTTGGAATATAGACACCTGAGTTTGGACTCCATTCACAGCAGATGAACAAATGTTACAATTCTGAATTACGTAGGGCCGGTCAGTTCGATGATGATATTCCAAGGCGGCCTCCCTTTTAATTAAAAAAAAGAAAAAAAAGAAATCCAACCTGACCAATTATTCCCCCTTTTCCAGAGGGTTTAAGAACAGTACTACTAATTAATACACATGCACTTCACGCACAGGAAATGGCGGGAAATTCTGAATGTCCATGGCGGGAAATTTTGCATGTATTATACGTAATATACTAATTAATACACATGCACTTCACGCACAGGAAATGGCGGGAAATTCTGAATGTCCATGGCGGGAAACTTTGCATGTGTTATACGTAATATACTAATTAATACACATGCACTTCACGCACAGGAAATGGCGGGAAATTCTGAATGTCCATGACGGGAAATTTTGCATGTATTATATGTAAAATAGGCCAACTGGCGTAGCTCAGTTGCTACACCCACAAACTGCTGAAGCACAGATCCAAGTTATAATTCAAAATCCAACCAGACGTAACTCTGAACTTACCTGAGGCGGTTTCGTTCGTAGATGATGGCATCATCTCAAAGCCGTGGCACATGAGGGGAGAGGGGGGGTGGCACATGAGGGGAGAGGGGGGGTGGGGGGCAGGGAATGCATGTTTTTGGGAGGGGGAAGGCATGTCCTTGGCGGGAAATTTGACGATGAGCGATGAGTCCTCGGCACAAAGTGGGCACAAAGGTTCCACTTTTTGGCGGGAAATTTTGCATGTACTTGGCGGGGGACTCTTCCGTGTACTCGGGGAAACAAGAGAGGTAAAGAAGGAAGAAGAAGAAGAAGAAGGAGGAAAAGGAACAGCGA